TTAAATAAAAATAAAAAAAAAAAAAAAAAACTAAGAGTAACACAACAGTGCTCAATAACTGCAAACCAGGACATCCAAGAAGTGGATGATGACGGGGCCACCTGCAGTCGTGTCTCAGTCATGAAGGGTTAGGCCACAGGAGTGTCGCTGTGTATCTCCTGTTCTGTGTTGTGTTGTGTGCTGATGGCTCAGGAATGGCAGCCTTAGCAAGTCCTCCTGAACTGTGCTGTTGTACTTACAGCTGTATATTTGTATACAGTATATATACAGAGAGCTCCAGAGCTTGGCAGACGACTGTCCCTCCCAGCTCTGTCCATAGATCCCGGTCTGAAGGTGCAGGTTGGCCACTTGAAGTCCCATTTTGTTTGTACAGATTCTCACTTTGTGAGATCAGTGGGGGTATACAAAATCTTGTGGCCTTAGTGTGTTTGTGTTTTTATTTTCTCCTCATTTGCCTTTTTCTCAGCTGTTTATTATTGTGGATCAGATGTATTTACTAAAACTAGACAGCCTTTCACCAACATTATTATTATTATTATTATTTTTTTTTTTTTTTACTCCTAAAGCTGTCCCAGTTGCAGAATCAGTTGCAGAATGTCGACGGCTTCAGTGGCGCTAAAACAAACATGTCTCCTGTCGAGAGAGGATGTCCTTATGATGAATATTTTGGCTAGCTGTTACTGATGTCAGTGTAACGCGGTGTGTAATCCTAAAGGGGCCCCTGGGTTGGACAGTGCTTGTGAGAAGTTTCCCACTGCTGCACTCTGGCCAGACACAGGCCACAGGAGAACTGACACTTGTTTGACTTTGCTACACACTAACAAAGACGCCTTTTTATCCAGATATTCTGTGGTTGGTGTGTAATAATGGATGTCTATCATGTCATTGGGTTTAGCCTTAAGTAAGCGCGGCTACACAAGTAATTTTTGTAGTATTAAATGATACTGTAACAGATGATTTCTTTAACCTTTGATCGTACTGTGTGGACGTCCGGCAGTCAGAGGAAGCCGGTCAGGGCCGCTCTGCTGCCTGGTGAAGAATTTCTCAAACTTGATCCTTTCTGTGAGTGGTGAGGTGGTGATGGCTTTGTCCTAATTATGCTTTTAACACAGAAATCAGTGCTGGGCAGCACTGATTTCTGTGAGTGGTGAGGTGGTGATGGCTTTGTCCTAATTATGCTTTTAACACAGAAATCAGTGCTGGGCAGCAGGGATTCGTTTTTAAGGCCAAACAGACGCATGTACATATCAAAACATCACAACCGTTCCACGACACCATAGCCAGTCTCAGATCGACTGAGAGTGTCGAGAGTGATTTCAGGGGACAAGTCTCATTTGGATCATCACTGTGAGATGAGAAAAAGATTTTTGACTTTAAAGGTCTGTGTAAGCATTGAACTGAATGTGGAGTGAACAGATGTTTGTGATTTTATTTTTTTTTTAACCATAAGTATTACTGCAAAGATTTTTTTAAAATGGTGCACTGATATCAAAGCAGCGTTGTGCGACTGTTAGAAGTGTGCCTAAAAGTGGAAGTCAGTTTTAAGTGACATGATGGGATAAAGTAAAACCCTGTGGCAGTGAAGGGGCCAAGTTTGAGAAATGCGTCAGTTTGCTGTGGAAACATTATTCCTAATCTGTGGGAGGGAAACTGCTGGCGAGAGCACATACAGAAAATGGCTAAAGGGCAATACAGTATATAGTTGGTGTCTCTTGTTAATACTTTTTTTGTCATTTATTGTTTTTAGTATTATCAACCTTGTTGTTAAAATGCAATAGAGTTCTTGAGTGTCAGATCATTTATAAGGGTGCGGTTTGATTTTTCAGACGGATCAATGGTTTTATTTGTCTGAGAATTTGTCATCACATTTTGATGATTGTTTCAAGGACCTTTTTTTATTCTGATGAACTTGTAAACACTGGAGTGAAAGGAAAAAAGATGAGATATGGATATTTTTCCTTCAGACTGTACTAGATTTTAGGTTTTAGACAAAGCCTATTTCTCCTCAACTTGACACGGATGGTGGACAAGAACAGTTTGGATCAGTACAGTTGAGAGCCCAGTACGTTCATTTAGTTTGCTATTAGAGGCAGTAGTGCCACAAGAAAATGTTTTCTTTCTTATACAAAGTCCCTGGTATTTGTAGTAAATTATATTGATAATGGTATTAGATGAACAACAGCATAATAGTAGCTATCACAGATTAGTTTTCTTTTAGTCTTGCATGCAGAATTATGGTCCTCAGTTAAGATAGGATCTTGGTATTGATTATTTTGTGTAGAGAAATGAGTGCATAAGAATAACATCCTTAAAAAAAGTTACAATGATTATTGTAAAATGGGCTACCTAATATGTACCCTTGTGATCCACTTAGTTTCAACTGTATGAAAATCAGAGGAGAGGCTTCTTTACTATTATGCGGAAATAAAAGAATTTGTAAAGGACTTTTGTATGCTATCAGGCTGTGTTGACTGTGTTTTCATTATGCTCAATTCACACTTTAAAAAGTAGAGAACAAAAATCCTGCTGGAGCCATTTCGACTTAAAGCCTTGAAGAAGAAGAGTAAGCTGGGGATGAAGGTGCACATGGCCCAGCAGCACATCTAGGATTTGGAAAAAGCTCTAGGAGTCACAAAGGCAGGCCAGGATGAGTCCAAGAAGAGGGAGGAAGCCTAAAAAAGGAACTTGCTTCATTTAGACAAAGTGTCAGTGCACAGATGGACTCAGCCAGAAATCTGACTCTTTCTGAAGGAATCTGGCAAGATGACTGTTTTGGAGCGAACTGGAAATGGTAAAGTCGGTGTGTGACACCCAGCGGAACAAATGCAAGCAGCGGGTCGGAGGAAGGTCAGCCACCTGAAAGAGCAAATCACTGAAAAGGACAACCTGATCAGCTCTCAAATGTGAAATCCAAGCTTGCACAGATGAGCATTTGATCATGTCATCCAAGCTCAGATGCAAAGAAAATGAACTAAATCAGAGCATAAACATGTGCATCAATCTAGTTGAGATGTTCAGAAAGGGGCTTCCAGAGCAGGAGGAGAGCTGGGAGATGGAGAAGACTGAAAAAGAAGACATCCTGAAGAGGAGGGCAAACACCATCTTCAGGTACATTGCTCCACTTTACATGTTATTCTTTGCATTAGAACAGTTAATTTAAAATTAGCCTTCCGAAGTGAAGTAAAATTTTCAGGAGCTTGTCCTTCAACTGACCAAAAAGATGGAGGAGGTGAGGAAGAAGAGATACTGGAGCTGTGTACACAAAAGGAAAAGCGGCCACAGAGGAGACGAAGAAGAGGTAGGTGCTGATTGACTGGTACAAGCTGCATAACGGTAACCATCCATCCTACATCCACCCTAACCCCTTAGCCTTACTCTACCCTCCTATATCCTGATAACCTAGCTCTTAACCCTTATCGTATGCTGTATGTGTTAATGTGCTTTACTGTGCCTCTTGCTGTGGGCACTTTGCACAATGTCCATGGGAATAGACACAGTGTGTTTGTTTTATGAGGCACTTGTTTCTGCATTTGATTTGTTGGAGACACTTGTCCTTTTTAGTTCTGGTGATTTGACACCAGCACCCCAATACCTTACCTTGCCCTTTTTTGATTATTAAAACTTATTGATCTAAAGGTTCAATCACATCTGCCTCTTTTTGTATTTATAGGTTCAGTATTATTCCAAATATGACATTATATTCCAACCAGCTGCTGTATGCACCTTGATCAAACCCACTGTAATGCACAAATTGTCACATTCTAAACTATCACAACCATAGCAGATTCTCTTCTGGGTGAACCATGAAGCTGCTCGGCCTGCAGCACAGCTTATGCAAAACATTTGGATCTGTTCTATTATCTAAACTCAAGTGAACATCTTTGGCCTTTATATCATGTATGTTTTTTTTGTTTGTTTTTTTTAAACAGCCTATTCAGAAAAATAGCTGAATAATTTGCCTGTACAGATGTAAGACGGTCTAACAGATACAATGTCAGGAATGTGGGGTGGCTGTGGATCAGGAGGTAGGGCAGTCGTCTCCTGACCAGCAAGTTGGTGGTTCTCCCCGCATGCCTAAGTGTCCCTGAGCAAGACACTGAACCCCAAATTGCTCCTGGTGGCTTGACTAGCGCCGTTGTGTGGCAGCCTCTCGTCATCGGTGTGTGAATGGGTGAATGGTGTATGATCTCATGTAAAGCGCTTTGGCCAGTGCAACACACTGGAAAAATGCACTATATAAATACAATCCATTTAGCAGGTTGTAGTGAGATCAGCAGCATGCACAAATATATCTACCGTGCACAGCTGCAGTGAAATATATCACCATCACAGCACTGAAGACAGACCGTAAGCGTTCTCTATTACAGGACATTTGAGCAGGGAAATCTTTCAGCTCAAACATTGTGCTTCAGCTTGACTCAACTCAAATGGAAAGAAGAAACTGCAAACACCCTTCAGATGGTAGTGATTTATTTGTCTCTCCTATGGAGCTGTCCACAACTGAACCACACAGAGCATTCAGGTTGTTGCACAGTCAGATGTTTGGAAGACCCAAAATCTGTTCACATGAAAAGCTGTAGCCAAACAACAAATGCAACTTGTTTAAGAAATTTCAAACTGCCTTTATCACCACACATTGAATCCAAATCAAACAAGGCAGGAGATGCTCACAGGACTCATGTCTGCTGTTAAGGTGAAAGTTAGATATGTAAAATGCACTTTCAGATTTTATCAAACATTTGCATAAACCCAAGAAGGATCCCCTACTGTGAAATGTAAACTTTCATTTCAGAGTATAAAGCCATTGTAAGAGAAGACAGCAGGTACTACTAGTGGAAAAAGTCAAGGACTTAGGAAAAGGGCAAAATATCCAATGCTGAGGTAAATATTTAATGCACATTTCTTTTTGTTAAAAAACCCTTGACCTAGAAAGAGAGAGGTGCAGTGGCATCTTTGTACCTGTACAAACTACCAAAGCAGTAATTTAAAAGAAAGCTATCAGTTTTCCTTATTTCAGTTATAACATATATGAAATATTTCATTGTACAGATAAAAGTGAAACTACTGATTACTTGATTATCAAACTGTCAATGTTTAGTTAACCAACCCTGATAACTGGCCGCTGTAAAATAACATCTGTTGGTCTGACATCAGTCTAAAATAAAGTTTTAGTGCTGATCAGGAAAAAACAACTCATGAAAATGTCACCTTGGGTTCTCAGAACAATTTGCACTTAAATAATAGCTCAAACTATTTTTATTTACATATGTAGTAGTGAAATGTCACATTTACTAAAAACATCTTTGATGCTCAAAGACAAAGAATCTTCTGTTTTTTTGTGCATTGAAACGGTTTTTATGTACGTTTCATTTTTAGCTCTTTGACCTTGCATTTGTTTGCTTTATTCTCTGGCTTCTTTACCTGAATAATACTTCTGTTGCACTTCATACTCGTGATGTTAACATCCAGCTCAGGATGTGCTTTTTATTGCACCTACAGTACAGTACACGCTAACCTGAGGCTACTTTTCCATAATTTGTGATTTTCAAGATCATACAAGTAAACTATAAACACACTAGACTCAGGAAGCTACTTGACATTAAAACTCTACATGTGCATGTAACCGTTTTCTGTACTAAATCTAAATGTAAATAACATTAGAACAATAATAATGTTACTTAGAGCAGTGTAGTGTCGTCTGGACAGGATAACAAACGTGTCTTATTAATTGCATAAAAGCTTTGCAGCACCTGTTAGATATTTTAAACTAAGTACGAAGAAAGACATACACTTGTAAGCCAAACTCCAGAGCACACCTATGACGCTTTAACGTGTGGCTTGTTCTGAGGCCTATGTAAACACTTTTCCTATGGTGGAACCTGTAATTATCCACGTGATCAAATGTTAGACTGACTTTATTCTCTGGTGTGGCAGAAAGTGAGTTTGTCTCAGGGTGAATGTTAGAGCCACAGATAATCTTATTACTAGGGCGAAATCTCCATGGGCAACCAGGGGACACATCCTTAAACGTAAAGTCCGTTTCTGCTGCTGATCGTCACATCTGATGTTTGTCTCCACTGCCCCTCCTGCAGATTGCGTCCTAGTTTGTCAGTCTGGATGATCACTTGCCTTTTGTAAACAGCCTGTAGTCGACACTAAACTGCGTTGTTGTGAACCATCCACATTATCAATATGCGGTTGGACAAGACACAAACATCCACAGGTGGAGATTCTGCACGTTGGAGCTTGCATTGTTGGAGTCGATGTTGTGAATCGATCACCACACATTAAATTTTACTATCATAACTTAGACCATTCATTTTGCACTTCACTGATGATTGGATCTTCAGGTGCCCACAAAAATGTAACGTTATGAATTTCAACCAGATTATGTAAATATTCTTTTTCCTCTCTTGCAGAAGAAAAAAAGCGGTGTGGCGCTAGCACTACACCTACGATGAGCACATAGTGTACGTGCAGCTACATGTGACGTATAAATGTCATAGCATACAAGAAGCTGACCACACTTGTTTATGGAGATGTGCATGTGTGTGGTTTTACATGGAGACTTTGGGCAACACTGGGATGACATTTCAGGCCAATACTGCCTGCCCGGTCCTTAACTCAGGCATGACACAGGTTTCCACTGGATCCGCAGGTGGCAGCAATACTGCAGTTTTTCAGGATGGGGTTGAGGTGGGAGACTGCACCACCACCAGCCTCTCTGGGAGGAAAAGGCTTCATGGTAGAGAGGATCAGGGCCAGGCAGTCTGCCACGTTTTTGTTCGGAGCACAGGCCAGAGCTGGTGTGTGGCCTGAAGAGGATTACCAGGCAAAGCAGCATCCTTATATATCCTTCAGTGATGTGTTGTGGCAAGAAAAAAAGGGGCAGCTCTATAGAAATGTAATGATTCCTGCTTACCTTCCTTATCTACAGCCATGACTGCTGCTCCTCTGCTCAGTAACACCTGCACTACAGTCGCCAGGCCTTTCCTCGCTGCAATGTGAAGAGGCCTACAGGAGAAAGTAAAATATTCACCAGCAAATTCACAACACATTTCCTTTTCTATACAACATTTGAAAATAAAAGGCAGAAAAAAATGGCCCCAAAAACAGTGGCAAAAGAAAATTTTCTTCAAGTCTCAAATCTTATTAGTGTATTTCAGAATCATTATCAATTGATTTTCTCATTCATCAATTCCACTCTAGCAATTTCTGTAGTTTGATCAGGTTTTCATCAGCAGTTTTCTTGATTAATAGTATAATAGCCAGTGTTTGAAGGCAACTCACATTTGAAGAGCACTGTTTGTTGCATTTATGAGTGAGGAGTCGCTGATCTCTCCCAGGATCAACAGGGCACACATCTCATGACCCTGCAGAACAGAGCCATTTAAAATATGGAACAACTCTCTGGTTGAATCAACTCTTTCATTTAACTGGTTCAGTGAATTCTGATGTTAAGGGACCATGTTATTACATTTTACTGTTATAAACCATTGCAGAGTTTCATTAGATACTATGAAATAAATAGTTATGATACAAATATGTTCATTCTGAAGACATTTTCAAAAGGGGTTTTATTATATTTTGGAAGGTTATGACCTTATGTGACAGCTATAAACATCTGTTGCCACACATGTAAAAGTATGTGTGTGTGTGTGTGTGTGTGTGTGTGTGTGTGCGAGAGAGAGAGAGAGAGACCTTGCTGCAGGCTAAGTGAAGGGCTGTGTTGTTATTGACATCCACCAGGGTCAGGTCTGGCTTCGCTTTGTGCAGCAAGAACTCTGAAATACAGAAAACAGGACACCTTTCACAACAAACAGTCATTTTTGTTTGAAGCGTTTATGTGGTGTTTTCATGTGGAGTGACTTACAACCAGTGTAACAGGGAAAAAGATTTATCTGGCGTATTAAAGGTAACCATTACTGAAGACCGTAAGGGTCGGCACACGTGCTTCCTGTGTCTCTTCAACCATTATATGTGACTAAGTACTGTCAGAACAAAATGAAGATGTTCAGACATGACTAGAACATAGTCGAGAACAAACAGAAGGAAGATGGATGAAAGGAGTCTGAGAAGCTCTTGTAGAAACATCATGTAGTCGTCCTCTTCTTGACCTAAAAATACGTTTAGGTTTTCCCTGGTCTATATACAACAATACCTTACACATTTCAACAGAATGACCTAATTTCAGTCACATACCAACAGCCACGGTCTGTCCACAGTCAGCAGCAACCATCAGAGCAGAGCATCCGCAGTGGTCCACAGCATTGACCTCTGCTCCCTGGGCCAGGACCAGCTGGAGCCCAGCGACATTTCCTGAATGAGCAGCGGCGTGCAGTGGGGTCCTGCACTCGCACAGCGAACAGAGTGAACAGATGGGGTCACTGCCTCAGAAAATAAATACAGCTTCAAATTGTTGCTTGTTTTTGTCTTATCAAACCAACTAAGGCTGGATTTCAAAAATGGTTTTCTTCATGAGCAGAAGCTTGTGTGTGTGTGTGTGTGTGTGTATAGAATCTAAAGACGTATAGGATTTAAAACAGGAGGAACAAAATAATAGTGCATGTAAATGAATGGTGGTGTTATATGTCTTGTACCTTTAAAGATAAAAAATACATTCTACATGGGTAATCAGTACTGTACTGAGGACTGTAACTGATGGGTATAGGCTATCACTTCAGGGTGTTGGGTCAGAATTTCATGATGTCCGTGTCATGCAAACATGTATCCCATGGTGAATTTCTGCAGTGATATACAGAAGATAGCTCCAGATCTCTACCTACTGGCCAGAACGATAACTACATGCATAACTGAATTAAAGGGGCTAAAAAGAAAAGTCTTTTTTACAAGTACATTTGAGATTTATGTAAAATGTTACACTTTTTTTTTTTTACTAGAATTACAGCTCTGCAGTTGTATGCTTCTGCCAACCAGTCAAATTAATAGAAATGTGACAGATGTGAGGTCACAGTGACATTTGATCAACAAAATCTAATCTGTCCATCACTGAGCAGAACCCACCTTCCTTTGGTGTCACTCACGGTTACAATTTGAGGGCCAACAGTCTTGACTAGAAGTTTAGCAGCAACATCGTGTCGGTTAACTCTGCAGAGGAAGAACAGAGTTGTTTGCATTCTGAAGAACTAAATCAAAATCTGACACTAAATCTGTTTTCAATGTCTAATAAAATTACATATGATTAGCATTTACATTAATTGTGGCACTCACAGAGCACAGTGCAATGGGGTGAACAGATTTCCTTCCTGATTGCTGAAAAGTTTGTTTTCAAGTAAAATGTGCAAACATCCTTCATGCCCTAGAGAGGACAAGAGACAGACAAATGATTCATATTCATATCTTTGTAAAATATGGCAATACACAATCTCACCATGCAAGTGTTTAAGAAGGCAGAAGTTTAAACCATCAACTGAATAAAATATGGACACCATGACACAATCGCCCCCTGGTGGCTGGTTGCAGTATAGGTCATGAATCCGGCCTCCTCGGTGTTAGAGGATGGTAGGTGAATCGAAATAAAAATTCACAGTACAAATCAGATGCTTATTTTTCCCAGAGGTCACTTCTGTGGTTCTTGGTAGATATTATCACGCTAATGTGTCTACAAGTGGTCAGTTTGTTTTTAATAAGTTATTTGATATTTCAGTTGATCTGACAGCTTTGATTGGCGGTCCGATGCCATCACTCCACTTCTGGTCTCTACCGCGCAGAATATGGCTGGAAGAGATGGCAGCCGCCGTATTCGTGATATTTTGGCTTCATTTTTGCATAGTAGAGGGAAGTGGTAACCCCATGCCCATCGTATACTGTATTTACTGATGGTTTAAACTGAGAGACATTATTCAAAGGCTAAAATGATGCAGTGCATACAGAACAGTGATGAGAAGCAAAATGTCCATTTATACAACTCATGCATGAATTTTACCTGCATTCATGTCCACGTTCAGCCTATTAAAACACCAAGCCACTCTTTCTGATATAGTTTAATTACATATGACATGAATGTGGCCCTGTGATAGACTGACAACCTGTCCATGGTGCACCCCGCCTCTCGCCCAGTGTCTGAGATTGCTCTCCAGCCCCCCTGCAACCCTCTACAGGATGTGAATTCAGGTCTCACCATGGTAGGCAGCCCAGTGGGTGGGCGTGTAGCCTCTGTGGTCCAACAAGGAGTCCAGAGGGTCAGCTTTCATAGCAGCCTTTAGTAAACTGCGGAGGAGCTCCGTGTGGCCATAGGAGGCTGCGAGGTGCAGTGGGGTTCTTCCCTGAGAGTCTCTACACAGAGCAGAAGCCCCATGTTCCAATAGGGCGGATACACAGTCCTCATTGCCCAACACAGCCTGAAGAGAGCAGACAGAAGTTGTGATGCTAGAGAGAAAAAAAAACCCCATCTGGAACACTGTGAATGCTGTAAAGGAACTCATTTGTCCACTTAGATGACTGTAACGGGTGATTTAAAAGTGATGGGACATACACAGGCACAGCAAACACACTTACAGCTCTGTGTAATGCAGTGAAGCCCTTTTTGTCTGCAGCATCAGCCTTGGCTCCTTTCTCCAGCAGGATGTGGACACAGTCGGTGTGACGTCCCAGAGCTGCCAGCATGAGAGCCGTCCTACATAATAACAAACAAACTCTGTTTACTGCTGTACAAGTTAGTAGGTGTGATTATGTCAGACTGGCAAGAATCATCTTGGGTTGGCAGATCAGCGTGACTGTGTTTAATACAAAAAAAATCTGCTACTACTGAAAATGACAATTGGTGGGAGAGGGCAACAACAATGACAAAATGGAAATGTCTGCCATCCTAGACAGAAGTATGGTATGTAAAACCTAGGCATGTCTGATGTTTAATCAACAATACCAAATCAAGCATTAAAAGTGTGACTTACTGTCCCTGTGTATCTGGGCTGTCAATGATGTCGGCACTTTGTTCCTTGTTGACCAGTAGCAGCAGACAGTCCATCTGGCCGTCAGCAGCTGCACATGGGAGAAGGGTACAATGAAAACACACTAATATTAATTTGAAAATATTAATGAACACAAAATGTTAACATGTAATTGTTTCATTTCAACCACAATGTTTCCTAACAACAGTATGCACCAAACGCCATTAACAGGACACTACAATAAGACATGCAGCATATATTGTTCAGGTCCCAGGGTCCAACACACATACACACCTGCAGCATGAAGTGCTGTCCACTTGCGCTTGTACTCCTTCAGTGTAAAGGAGGCTTGATGTTCCAACAGCACCTCCACACACGAGACAAAACCCCTCTGTGCAGCCAGGTGGAGAGCAGTTCGGCCTTCAATGTCCCGCACATCCAGACTCACTAATGTCTCACACAGCAAGCACAGGGCCTCGCAGTGACCATAATACGCCTATGGTGGCAGAATGCATGCACATGTGGTCGTGATTCAAAAGCAACATTTCCCAGGTGTGTCTCAGAGCATCATGGTGTAAAAAGAAGGGTGGTTTGTGCTGTTTGTACTACTCACGGCTAAGTGCAAAGGACTGACTGGAATATTACTTTCAACTTCTTCTAGGCAGTTGAAAGAAACCTCCAGGAGCTGCAAGTCAGAAGACAAATACAGAAAATTGAGTTTACTATGCAATCTATGCGCAAAGATTTTAATCAAATCATCTAAATGGAAGTTGGCACTGACCATTTCCAGGTGCTGTTTGCTCCCATAAGCTGCTGCGTAGTGGACAGCACTGTAACCTTTACTATTCTTCAGAGTTGGGTTTGCCCCATTATCGAGCAAGTAGTCTAAACACCTGAGAACACAGAGACCAAGGTACATTAGGAACCCTGTCTTGGTTTTAGCCTTCTTCCAAAGAAAACAGTGGAAGGAATTATCACACAGTGTGTAACAGTATTTTTAGATTTTATAAAGATTAGGTTCACAAAACAAAAGATGAAACATGCTTTTTCTGTGTTGTCAGCTCATGATCCAGACTGTGCTGTTTGCATTTCTGATTTCTAGTGGGCTTTATTTGAAAGGTGAATGTGGATTCCACACAGTAGAGCACATCTAACATACTGAGATAAAAGTTGATCTATTTTATGATTAACAACACATCTAATATGATAATATGTGACTTACAGTGAGGCCTCTTGTTCCTTCTCCACGTTGTAGTCAAGATTAGTGTTTGTGTCTCCTCTGTGAAAAGAGTGACACTTATAAAATAGGTCTGAATGAAGTTGAGATAGTTAATAAAGAACTCTCCACAGGTGGCTCTCAACAATGAGTCAAACATTTGCTCTCTCACCCACGGACGGTGTGTGAAGCAGCAGCATAGTGGAGGGGGCTGCAGCCCATCAGATCCAGCTCATTGACGTCAGCTCCGGCTTTCACCAGGGAGACTGTGCATTGTCTGTTCCCGCTGGCTGCAGCATAGTGCAACGGTGATCTGCCAGGCACCAAAGGGGACAGCTGTGGTGTCAGGTGACAACGGAGCAGTTAAAAAAAACTTTGCTTCAGTTATTCAGCAGTGCGTACCTTCCCAAGTAATCCTTTACGTCCATTTCAGAGCCACTATTTAACAGCAAGTTAAGACAGTCATCATTTCTGCCACAAGAAAAGAAAAAACAAAGGAGTTAAACTCAGAGCCAAGTGTTTCGGATCTGTGCCAGACATCTTATGAACAGCTTTGACAGTATGTGTATGATTTAGGCAGTTTTTTGTATTTTTAAGTCACGCCCCTCCTGGCTACGCAAACAGCAGATAAAGATTATTAGAAAAATGATTTTAAAAAAGCTAAACTTTCACTTCTAGTCAGTAATTTTTCACTAAATGACACCACACCTGAAGTGCCATATATATA